CCCCCCCCTCCCACCACATACTTTCTAAGCTAAAAAAAGGCTTTATCTGGGTGGATTTTCCAGGAAAGCTGGAAAGGATAAGCCCTTTCTGTGTCACTGCCCAGTTCCTGGATCAAACGATGAGAAATGGCACAGCTGACCAGATATTGTCACCCCCATCCTCTCCCACAGGGCTCCAGCCCAGGGATTTATCACGGCGGCCGAGAACCTTCCCCCAGCAAGGCAGCTGGGAGAAAACACCAGAGAAAGCAAAGCGTTTCACCTGCACAGGCAGCGGAGAGCGGCTCCTAGGAAAGGTGCATCCCTGCAAACCATCTTACCAAAGGCCACGCTAAAAACAACCGTCCAGCCTGGGGTTGGGATCGCTGAGCCCCGCGGGGCAAGCGACCAACAAAAGCCGATGGCTCATGAGCCTTACTCCTGCCCAGAGATGTTCTGCCCTGCTCCTGCCGCCCTGCCAGCGGACTTGTGCCTACTGAGAAAGCTGATTATGAGGCGGTAAGTCATCCAGCATGGCCAGGCCAAGTCAAGGCAGGCAGCTGTTTTAATTTAGCTCTTTTGCTCACTGAGCTTCGCTGTGCCCTTAACCCCTCTGCTGCCGGGGCGGGAGCTCCCCCAGAGCCTGCTGACAGCAGGGGGAGACCAGCAGAGCATCAGGGGTGAGCTACTGCCTCAGCTGCAGCACAAGGCCATGATGTACCCCGCTTCTTTGCAAGGAAACACTGATTTTTGTGCTTAGCCGTGGCTCCAGAGGAGCTTGAACCACGTCCTGGGACTCATGCCAACCAACAAGGGGCTCCTGTGCCTTTTGCTTCAAGCTTCAGGCCCCAGAAGTGCTGCTGAGCCCCCCAAGGGTTCACACCTTGCTGACAGGGCTGCAAACCTCCTCCACACCTTTCCCATTTCCAGCTCCCACCTTTCCTTACTCAGGGCCAGCTGGTGGCTAGCCGGCAAGGCAGCAGAGAAACGCTCAACTTGACCCTCTTTGCTCTTGCAAATGTTTGCCTGTTTTCCTGCCCGGGCAGTCCCAGGCCCACAAAGTTTTTTTCCTGGCCTGGGAAAACTCCAGCCCCCTGTCTGCTCCCCGTCCCAAGCCAGCTTCTGCTGCTTAACCACCAGGAAAAAGAAATTATGCCAAGAATTACATTTGACCCAAATAAAACTGGATTCTAGAAGGGATTAATAAAAATCCAATTCTGATTTTATTGAGGGAAAAAGGGAAAAAAAAAAAAAAAAAAGAGAGAAACCTAATGATCCATCTCGGAGATATAATTTCCACAGGGGCCTTAAACCAAGGCGTGGATTTGCACTGGCCCTTATCTCATCTGAGCAGATGAGCAGCCAGCATGAGCTCCACGTGGGCTGCAGCTTGGGGATGTCAGCGCTGTCACGCTGCCGAAGATGGAGGGCTCTGCACTGCGCACTGCTATATCCAGAGCCCCAGCTGCAAATTTAGAAACGTTGCCTGAATTTCTCTTTGTGCTCTCCCACGTCCTGCCCTGCTACAACTCCTGTCTGCTTGCGTTTCATTTCTTAAAAAGCACTGCTTAGCAACCTGACAGCCTTTTCACTTCGAGCACAAGGCAACCAGTTCCTCCCATTCCTCCTCCAGCAGGGAAACCGTGGCAGGCACATGGCCCCGTCTGCGGCGGAGCCGGGGCTGTAACAACCCAGCAGCCCCGGTGACACGAGGGCACTTTGTGTCACCTCTTGGCAACTCCAGTGTATTTTTGTCCCTGGGAAGACAGAAGGGCCCACGTCCCTCCTGATGCCACAGATCCATCTCTGCTTCCACCACAAATGTTTCTGCTGTGGAATAATATCCTCACTGGAGTAAAGGAGAGGTAATTACAGAGCCTTCAGTAAACTTTTTAAGCCATTCATCCAAAGTCCCCAGAGGGAAGCAGGTGAGACTATAATACTCATTGCACAAGAGATACATATCTAGGGTATTTTATTTTACAAAAATCTCTCCCCTCCCTTTGTGGTTTGTTTAAAGGGAATGGCAAAACAACCCAGGTACGCTGCAAGTCGCCGCTGCCAGCGCTCCCAGCCCTGTCTGCCATGGCAGATCCAGCCCAGGACCAACGTGGACTCTCTGGGAGCCGTTCTCCAGATAGAAGCTGCTGGAGAAGAGAGAAGGGCCTCGGACTAACAATGAGGCACAGCTCTTCTTGCTCCACAGTCTGGAAACACGCAATCGCCGCAGTCGCCTTCGGCTGAGAGCGGAGGGAGGCAGGATGGGGCAGGTCCAAAACGAACAGGGAGTGCTCTGAAAGAGTCTGGAGCGAGGGAGAAGAGCGAAGGGGGACAGATAAAAGCACAAGACGGGCATGAGTCATGTTGGCGTGTGGCCTCCGAAGAGAGCCCTCAAGCAAAGGGGGTGTGAAGCAAACTCCTAGTCAGGCAAAAGTCCACTAAAACAAAAGGCAACCCAAAACAGGTTCTTGCATACCTGTCTCCTCTGGCCCATGGTTAAAGGTTCAGCATCACACGAAGAACTCGGGCTGTGTTTCTTGCTGGCATCTGGTCACGCGTGGCCAGGCCAGGGCAGAGGTGGGAAAGGTCACGGCACGTTGGGGGAGCGCTCGCTCCCCCAGGCAGGCCCAGGTCTCCAGCTAATCCCTGCAAAAGCTGCCCTCCTCCCCCGGAGGGGAGAGCTCGCTCCAAGAGAGTCAACAGGAGGGCTGCCGCTCTCACACACTTCCACTTGCACACCGCGGGAAGAAACCCCGCTGCTGCAGGCAGCAACTTTCCGTTCAGCCTACCCACACCTCCCCACTCAGGGGCTGAGGGTGAAGGAGTTTCCGCTGGGCTCCTCCAGAAACCACCAGTCACAGACCTGTGGGGAAAGTTTGGATCTGAAGTCAAGCAGCGGGTGGCTCCAGCAAGTTCTGCTGTAAACCCTGCCCTCCCGCCTGGGGATTGGGAAAGCAAATCATGCAGGTGTTCTCCCAGAAACACGCAACGCAAGCACGCCAGCTCTTTGGAAACCCAACAGCAGAGCCGTTAGCCGCGGGTCACGCTGCAGCCCTGCAGCTGGGTGAGCCACACGCCGGCTCCCCGCGCCGCCGCGGCCGGAGGCTGCCCAGCGCGCCGGCCTCCCGCTGCTGCCCTGCTGGTCTTTGCAAGGAAGAATCCAATCCCCAAGCCAGCTTTAGTAACGTTTCTGCACCGCAGAAACATCATTCCTGCACGCTGCAGCTTTCACTTTAGAGAAATTTTGGCCATTTATAGGGGGCCAAAAGCCTGGGGGCAGCGGACCCTTCTCTCTGGTGCTTGTATAGTGACCCGTAGCACCAGGTCCTGGGCTGGACCGTGGCCCTGCAGCACTGGAACAACAAACACGAGGAGAAACACGTTCGTTGTGCACCCTGAGCGCACCAGAGAAACTCCATGGTGGGAGGTGCCCTACCCCATCCTTCTCCATTCTCCGCAGCAGCAGCATCTCCTTCAAGAGCATCCCTAAATATTCTAGACTAGGAATAAATCCAGGAGTTTCAGCCCCCTTGCTCCTTCTTCCCCTGAAGTCACACTGCGGCAGCTTCTCAACAAAGCTGGAAGAGGTGCTGAGGAAGGAGCAGTCACCAGCAACAGACGATGCCGTACCTAGGATGGATTGCTTTACAAGCTTGTGTTTCTTGCACAGAAGTTTGGTGCCTCTTCCAGAGATGCTTGTACCAACCCTTAGAGCAGGACACCATCCCCACCAGTCTGGCTTTTTGCTTCCCCACTCGAAAAGGGCTGCAGGGACCAGAGAACAACCTCTTTGCTGTCCAAACAGGCCCTCCACAGGGCAGGTAAAAATGGTATAGCTCATTTCCCCATCTTTATTTTGGGTACAACCCAACACTCCTCCCTAAAGCCAGCTCAAGGGCAGCTTGAGACAAGTGCATGAAGTCCTACTCTGGAAGAGTGTCGGGGTAACAGCAGAACAGCGTGAGTTGAAAAGAGCCTGGAGGCGCTAAATATCAGCTTGAGACACGCTGGCAAAGCCACGTAGAGAGGGCACGCTGCCTAGCTCAAACTCCTGACGCTTATTCTTTGTTTGTACAAGCACCTAATTCCCTCCCAGATGTTTGCAAAAGCTCGGGAAGTTGGCACAGTAGCAAGGAGTTGGCCTTTAATTAACCAGAAATCAAATAGAAAAAGGACGTAAGCAACCTGTGAGCCGCACTGCTGCCCCTGCCCGGAGCGTTCAGCTCCTCCGCGGGTCTGTGCAAGTTGGGGGCTCTCCATACTGCTATTCTTTTGTGCCAGCATGTAAAAAAAGACTTTACCGGGGCTGCTTACGTGTCTCCTGATCCCCTTTCAACACGCACCGTTGAGCGAGCTGAACTCACGCGTTTCCCACCCGTAGCCGCAATGTCACATTCCCCAAGGACACCAGCGCACCCGGCGCCGGTCGGGTGGAAACCCACCAGCACAGAAAAGCAGCGTTAGGCACAACACAACCACCTCAACCACAGCGGAAAAGCCACCCCCACTGTCTGCCTTCAGCCCCCACACAACACCCAAACCCCGCCCCGCCGTCCATCCCTGGTTCTGCCAGGTGGGCTCACGCACCCGGGATTCTGAGCGAGTCCGGCCAGAACAAAAAAATCCTCTCGGGCCGTCTCCGAAGTGCTGCCGATGCCTTGGGAGGCTGCTGTGACTCTGCAGCAGCCCCGGGGGTGCCCCACGGCGGGGCTGGGGAGCTGCGAGCACGGGTGGAGGTGACACCTACACGCTGTGCAAAGGGATCTTGTAAAGCTTGTCCTCTACCCCAGCCCCGCGCCCCGACACACACACCCTGAATCAACTCAGGTTTCCATCACCTGTATTCAAGAGAGGGACAGTAGTACCAGGAACAGGCCGTGAACATGGGTCACCCAGATAACACTGGGTCTCCTATAATTTGTTAAAGAGAGTCATTTCTCCCCCACGTCATTAGCGTAGTGGGTTTTGCGCCGTCTGCCCGGCTTCAGGCACTCCTGGACTCAGCCTCGCAAGGATGAGCAGCCAGACTTAACTTCTGCTGCCGCCCTGAAGCGTCCGCTGGCTGCAGGGCTGGCCCCGGTGGATCTTCACGTGTTTGGCTAAGTGGTCGCTGCGGGCAAACTTCTTCTCGCAGGCAGCGCACTGGTAGGGTTTGACACCGGAGTGGGAGCGCTTGTGACGGGAGAGCTCATCCGACCGGGAGAACCTGCAGGAGAAGGGAAGCACGGTGGGCCCAGCCCTCGCTGCTCGACGGGACGGGATCTGAGCACCCCAGCGCCCGGGAGGCTCAGGTCTGCGTCTGTCACGGCCCCTTGGGCTGAGCCTAGACGGGTCACTTCTGCTCTGCTCCATCCCATCGCCCAGCGAGGCACAGGCTGGGGGAATGGAAGGAAAGAAACCCCTCCAAGGGGTGACTCAGAGGTAGGAAAGAGCAAAAGAATTCACCCACCAAGATCTTCATTTCTTTCCACTGCTCTTAAAGGACAATGTCCATTGATTTTAGACTCGCTGCAGCCTTTTGGGAGCTGACAGCCCCAAGGCCAGATGCTTTTTTGGGGGCATCAGCCCAGGCTGGCAGTGACTAAAGGACCCTGCCCAGGAGCCTGGGTGGAAAGGCTTGGGGTGTAACTCCCACATCCAGCCAAGAGCATCGCTGGTGAGAGGAGGCTTGTTTTTCCTGGGAGAGCACAGGTTCTCTCCAAACTCTGAGCATCCCCTTGTTGCTCAGCAGTGAGTTTTCACTGTCAGCCAGGCCTGGATTGGGAGCTGGGGAGAGACAAGCTGCCTGTGAGCTGGTTTCCACGCGAGCCCAAGGGAGGAAAAGCAAACGCACCCAGCCTGGAGCACAGAGGCCAGGGTCTCCATGCCGAAGCAAACTGCTGTCCTGAGGATGCAGTGACAGGGACCACAGGAATACCCAGTGTTCAGACTGCTTGTCCGTCCGATTCCCACACCTGGGGCAGATCAGGTGAACAGCCTGGAAAGTCCCTTTAACCACATGCATGTCCCCACTGAATTCTCCCTCCTTTCTGCCACCTGGCACACACAGATCCAGCGGGGGGGGGGGGCACCTGCAGCAAGCTGGCCCCCAGCTGGTTTCTGAGTGTCACCTCCAAGGTCTCAACAAAGCCTGGGAGCTGGCGTCACTGCAGCAAGCTTGGCATGCCCGAGTGTCAGGGGAGTGCTGGAGTGGAGGACCGGACAGGATTTACTCCTGTTCTGCCTCTAAGGAGCCAACACAGATGGCAGGAGTATCAGGACGGAAGGGTTTTTCCATCTGGCTGAAACATGCCCACGCAAAGAAGCACAAAGCAAGGAACTTCAGATGTAACCCCAGACTCCCAGCGATAGGATTTCAAGCTCACACCTGGTACAGTAAATACTGGGGCTGCTCACAAAAGGCTCTGTGAGAACAAACTGTGTCCCAGGGCCTTCCTCAGGTCTTCCCTGCAAACCACTGACTTCTTCATCAGCTTTATTGCGAGGAGAGAGGTCCAAGGTCTCAGCTCCTCACAGAAAGCAGGGCCAGGAGAAATGACAGTTCTATTTACAGTTAGGGCCACGTCTAGAAAAGGGAGCACGGCCCGGAGAACCCCAGCCCCAGCTGAGCACATCACTCGGCAGCGCAACTGCTCCCACGGAGGGGGAGGGCAGGGCAGCAAGCGAAGAGGAGCACAGACTCAGTGGCCAGCCCCCAGGATGCCACCAAACAGGCTGGCACCGTCCCTTTCCTCCTTCCCAGGAGGAAAAGCGCTGCTTGGAGGGGCTGCAGTTGTCCCCTTCCTCAGTCCCCAGGTTCTGAGCGTGGTTTAGCAGTACTGGGTGGGCCTGGAAAAGGAGCCGATGCCTCTAAACATGTGCTGCAGTTGTAGTGAAACGGAGGGACAGTTGCTGATGGCAAAGGGACAGCAGCTTGGCAAGAGGGAGTCCCAAAATTGGCATTTCGTCTTGTACCTTCCAGTTTCACCACCCTGAGACAGATGCCAAAATGCACCATCCGGGGAAGCAAGGCAGCGGGTGTATGCCAAAGCATTGCATAAGAAACCAGGAAAGCTCAGTGCTGCCAGCACCAGTTTTCTTTGCGATATGCGTTGAGATCTGCTGATGAAAAGTGCTACGCAAGACCTGAGGATTATTCGCCCTTCTTGCCAAAGGCTGTACTGAGCATCCTGTCCCCCAGGACAAGTACACGGTACCAGGAAGAGAACACAACAGCAGAATAATAATCAGAGAAGTGCAGCAAGATTAAAAAGCAAGGTTAATTTAGGGAACACAGATGAAAGAAAACGATAACCACCATCATGTGCAGAGCAAACAAAAGTAACTGCAACACGGAGATATGCTACAGGCCCACAGGTGTCTGAGGGATACAAGCAGCCAGGGCAGGCAAGCAGCGCGAGAAAGCAAAGAGCTGCTGAACAAACACAGAACTGTGCGCTGGCTCCTGAGGAAGCAGCAAGATTCTTGTTTCTTGGGACAAATATTAATGGGAAAAGCCATTTTGGTTTTGGTTTTTTTTTTTTTTTTGTAGCCCAACTCTGTATTGGAACTAGACAGAGAAAGCTTGCAAAATTACAGCATCACTTGGACAAGCTCTATTGCCAGAGGGTGTTTAGGCATCCAGTTCAAGGGGGAGTTGAGGTGTTGCAGAGAGTGTCAGCTACGCTTTCCCAGCTGGAGGTTTTCAGCACTTTTGGCCTGAGTGAAAACTGCCCAAAGCGCTCGACAAACTTTACTCCTCCAGGCCTCCTTCCAACTCTCACCTATAACTCACTCGGCAAAGAAAACTTGTGATTTTCATCCTGGATTTTCACTAGCCGAGAGCTCTCCTGCATCTTGGCAACCAACGGCAGGCCTCTGGCAGGGACACCCTTTCGCACAGTCCCACAGCTCCCACTTACCGCCAGCCACAGTTGGGCCAAGCACACGTGTAGGGTTTCTCGCCGGTGTGGCGACGGAAATGAGCCTTGAGGTGGGAACTCTTGGTGTACATCTTGCCGCAGCCCGGGTGCGAGCACTTGTGGATGCGGACGAGGGAAGGGGGAGCTTTCTGATACTTGGGGCTTGCCTCCACCTCTTGCACATCCCCTGGCCTCGGGGCGACTGGCAGGGGGGCAATTTTGACATATTTCTGGTCCACGATGGTCACTGGGGGCTGGACCTGAGGGAGGAGGGACAGGTTTTGGCCCTGCAAGCTGATAACCAGCTGGGCCACCCTGACACCAGCTGTAGCACTCTGCGCTAGCGGGCTGCCACTGTCCATCTGCAGAGGCTGGATCTGGAGGACTACGGGAACGCTCCCAGCGGCTACTACCCGGTCACTACCATCCGCTGTCCCTGCAGGCTGAGCAGCCTTTGAGACATCTTCTTCTTGAGCCACGCTGGAGACAGGCTGTCCCCCAGAGCTACCTAAGCTGATCTCGGATTTGATCTCGACCTTCCCTCCAGCTGGGTGAAGCTCGCTCGCTTCATCTTTGAGGAACTCAGCCTTCTCCCTGAGGAACTCCTCAATCTCCTCCAGGGTGGGAATGAAGTCCTGGGAGAGGTTGCTGCAGAAGTCAGGCAGCCTGAGGTGAGCCTCGCAGACAGCGACGGAGGGTTTTGTGTCGAACAGGGGGAGCGAGGTGCCTTCCGAGTGGCTAGTGCTGCCTGCAAGGAGATGGCCAGAGCCTTCGGGGCGGCCGGACGCCCTCTCGCCGCCGTGCCCCAGCAGAAGGGATGGTGGCATCCTGCGTTGCAGAGCGCTGGCAGAGCTCTCTAGCAGGGAAGAGCTGGCCAAGGAGGGTAGCAGCTCCTGGCGACTCACAGAGACCATTTGGTGACTCAGGTTCTCTGCCCACACAAAGCTCTCAGCTCGGCTGGATCAGAAGTCTCGGCAAGAGCTCAGCTGGAGCTCCCGAGGCTGGGGAAGTCTTCGTTCACCTACAAGGGAACACCACCAAGGTTATTTCCAAATTAAAAAGCAAACAAGAAAACCTCAACCTTTGAATAAAAGACTGTACATTAGAAAGAACACATCAAAATGAGTCAGTGGCCTTTGTTTTTAACGAGTTTGTTGCTCAAAAAACCCCACGCGCTAACCATTTTCCTATGCAGGATGCCAACAGGCTGCAAAGAGCTAGATTCCCCCCAGAAGCAAACTTCTCCGGGGAGTTTATTAAGGTAAAAATACACAATGAAACACTTCATCCCTCTTCTGCCTACGCCAGAGGGCACATGTGTGCTGCTAGATGGCAGAGAGGATGACTTAGGGCTTACAACTAGGAGTTAACTGAGATCCAAGAGAGGGTGCTGGTTCTTCCACACTGCAAATGTTGGTACAACCACAACCTGACGCAGACCTATCACGGCTGGATTAAAGCTAACTAGTTCGGGAACAGGTAACGAGACATGAGAGTGGCTGCTGCCAAACTGCTCGGGGCTCTGGTGAGCATTCACCAGCCTGCCCGCTGCTGTGGTTACACCGGCTACCGGCGCCCGAGCGGGCGAGTTTAAAGCCAGTTCAGGCAGGTCCTGCCCAGGCTCGGTCACACCGCCGGAAAGCATCGCAGACAGACTGTCTGGGGTCAGCTCACAGGGCCCTCGAGAACACAAACAGCACCTTTCAAAACCGGGGAGAAATAGCACAGGAACTCCAGGTCAGACCCTGCCGTCTCCAGAAGGTGACTTTGACCCGTCGAACCCCAGCGGCCCGGCTGTGCACCGTCCCTGCCCCGGGGAGAGGGCAGCACCCTGAACTGCCCAGGAAGGCAGAATCCTTCTGCTTTTTACATTGAATGCAGAAAGTGAGTTTCCAAGAGAAAAAACCACCTGTGCCAAAGCCCCTCGTGGACCTTTTCCAGAGTAAGTTCAGGAGATTTCTGCAGAGCTGCAAACCAGTCAAGCCAGTCCTTGTTATCAGCGCTTCCTCAGGGTCCTGAGAGCTGGGGAAGGGAAATTTTCAGAAGCAGCCTGGACGTGATATAAAGGCTCTTCCCCTTAAAAAGAAATAACCCCCACGTTGTTCAAGACCTGCGTAGAGCAGGACACCCCATTGCTGGGGGCCGTCTGCAGTGCTGCCCAGAGCCTGGCTCCAGCCCAACTCTGCAGCAACAAGTCCTGCAGGGTGAGCAGAGACCAGCGCCGCTGACACGTGAGGTGAGAAAGGTGTCTGGGCCAACCTCAACCTTCAGGCTTCAAGTTTTCATCACAACACAAATCCGTGCTCTGAACCGCCACCTTCAAGGCAGCACCCAGTTCCCCTCCTTCCTCCACACCCATGTTATGGTCCCTTGCTGATCTCTGCTTCGCTGACTCTCGTCTCCTCCTTCTACAAGCTTCAGAGGCTAGAAAAGCCTTCCCCCTCTGGCTACCAGACCCTTCGGTTTACCTCTTCCAGAAGGTCTTAAAACCTGATATTTCAACAAGGTCTCCTCGCAGAGCAGCTCTGGAACTCTCCATCCCATCAGCATGCCCCCAGGACAACCGAATTAAACTGTGAACTCCTCAGCTCCGGAGCCTCGTTGAGCACATACCTTGTAAATTCAGAGTGAACAGTTCTGTTGAACCAACAACCACGAAGAAAAGCACAACCAGAGGGCAGGAAGGTCTCGTGGTTAAGCTGCTGGTTTGGGACTGAGCAGACGCGAGCAGGGTCTCCTGCTCTGCCGCAGACTTCTCATGTGACCTTGGCGTAGTTGTTGGAGTGCTCTGGTGCTCAGTTTCCCGTCTAAGCCGGGTACTAGTAAGGTCCTACCTGGCAGAGTGGTGCTAAGGGGAAATGTGTAAGCTGGAGGTGTGCTCTAACAGCCCTCGTAGACCCTCGTTACACATCTCAGCGCCTTGTCACTCCAAGGTATCGCTGCAAAACGCACGTCAGCGGTGCTGCCATCCCAGATAAGCTGCTGCAAGAAAATGGAGACCTGGCTTTGGCCTCTAAGCGAAGCACACTGCAAGGCAAGGTCAACGTCGTTTTCAAGCTTCATTTTGTATTTTCTATTCCTACAGTTTTTCCGATCCCTAAGAGCACTCAATTACTGTACGAAATCAGCAGATGTGCAGTTTGAGCACACAGAAAAAAAGTAATTTGCTCAAGGTCAGCCAACAAGCAGGAGCTGGGAACTCAGCCGAGGGTTACGACTCTCCTCTCGTGACTGAACAACTCGGACGGACACCTGTAACCTCTTCAGAGCCGTGAACTCCTTTCAGGGTGTCTGTGCAGAACCCGGGCTCACGAACCTTTCAGGACAACCCCGGCCCCGCCGCCAGCCTCTGGCAGCCCACGCCACAGGGAGAAAGGGATGTCCCACGCTCCCACCCGGCCGAGGACAAGCGTGAGCAAAGCGACCGCTGCCCCCAGACCCCGCTGCGGGGAACGGAGCCAGGAGCGGGCTGGAAGCCCCCCCGGGCCGAGGAGACCGACCCCAGCCCGGCGGCTCCCTTCACCCCCGGGGGGAGGGAAGAAAACCCCAAAACCAAACAAAAAAAGCAAAAACCACCCCGCCC